TTTAGATTAAAACAGGTGGTCAAATGTCAGAGTCAAAGAGGGTCTAAAATTATAGAATAACATTGTCTGCCTCCAACCTTATGAATAAATAAATATATAAATTAATTCCATTTTAATATGAAAATTTCGGTTGCCTGAAAAAGGACAAGTACTTTTGATATCTTGGGGACAGAAGCCAGTTTTAAAAGTTAGGAATAATGGAGGGTTGTGACAAACAACAGCACAAACTAATAATTCCCCCCAGTAGCTTTAATTACTTGGGCACCATTCCTTTAAAGTGAATTGCTAATGTACAGCATTAATCTTTCCTTGAAGTTAGTAGAACCAAAGCTAGAGAGAGAAAGAGCGAGAGAGAGCAGATATAAACTGTTGCCCACTACAGTTTTGCAGAAGTGCTGAAAGTGGGTTTATTTTCTTGCTTTGAGCACTGCATTTGGAGCTATAATTGTAACTCTGGCCTGAGCCGAGCTCACAAGCTAGCTGAAAATGGCTCCCTTGAGGGAGGAGTCTTCTGCAGCTCACAGACCTTCAGCTTTCAGCACTTAACCTGCCATGTTTCATATCTACCACTGCCCTCATTACCATGGCCTTGCCAAGATATCTGGGCTATGGTCTTCACATATTTAATGTGGTTTTCAAACTGTTCCAGGCCATTTCACAGCTGTATGCTTTGTCTCTCAAGGGTTGGGATATACACCAAAAGCAATGCTATATGAGTTAATTTCTCTTACTGTTCAACTATTTATATAAAAAAAGCTTAAACATAGTTTCTGTTTTTCTAAAGGCATAGTTCACTCAAAAATTTTAAAATGATGTGAATTTCGACACAGCAGACTCCAAAACAATAAAAATACAGTGATCATAGAAAAGAATCACCACCCTTTAAAATAATCACATTTTGTTGCTTTACAGCCTGAAATTGAGACGGACACAGTTATAAATAAATAAGTTAATAAATAAACAAAATCAGTTGGAAAAAATAAAGAGATGGAAAAAAGATCACCCCCCAACTAAAAATGACTCTCAATCAGGTGTAGCTCATCACTTTCTCAATGGCACACAAAGCCATTTGACTTTCAACTGTGATCAGCTGTAGTCATTTTGATTAGCTCAGCATAAAAAGAGCTTTCCTGGAACATTTCAGGCTACTGAAACAAACAATCAACCGTGGGCACCCATCAAAAGATCTCCGGGATAAAGTTGTGGACAAGCACGAGATTTCAAAGGCTTTATCAATGCCTAAAAGTGAAGTCTATTATTAAGAAGTGGAAGGTATTTGGTACAAGACAGACCCTCCCTGGATCAGGACGTCGCTCCAAACTGGAAGAAAGAGCCAGGAGGAAACTGGTCAGAGAGGCGACCAAGAGGCCTACAGCAACTCTGAAGCAGTTAGAGGAATTTATGACAAAAAATGGTCATTGTGTGCATGCGACAACAATATCACACATTCTCCACAAATGTGGCTTGTATGGGAGGGTTGCAGAAAGCCCACATGCAGTCACGACTGAGCTTTGCCAAAACACACCTTTAAGAATCTGAGGCAGATGAGACTAAAATTGAGTTATTTGGCCTCAACACCAAACGATATGTCTGGTGGAAATCCAGTACAGCTCACCATCCAAATAACAGCATTATTCCAGTAAAGCATGGAAGTGGTAATATCCTGTTATGGGGTGTTTCTCTGCAGCAGGGGACTGAAGCACTTGTCAGGATAGAAGGAAAGATTGATGGTGCAAAATACCATAAAATTCTTGAGGAAAATCTGCTGCCCTCTGCCGGAAAGTTGTGAATGGGGGAAAAAGGTTTACCTTCCAAGATGACAATGAGCCAAAGCACACAGCAAAACTGAGCACACAGTGGTTGAAGGAGGAAAAGGTGAATGTCCTTGCATTGCCTAGTCAGAGTCCAGACTTAAACCCCATTGAAAACTGCAGTCCACAAATGGTCACCATCAAAATTGAACTGCACTTGAGCAGTTCTGAAAGGAAGAGTGGCAACAGACTAAAGGCTGTAATTAAATCAGAAGGTGGTTCAACAAAATACTGACACAAGGGGGTGATCCTTTTTCCAACTCAGTGATTGTTTTTTTTTTGTTTTGTTTTTTTTCTGATATGTTGGTGTGATATATTTCACTTGGATGTTAAATACAGTAAATAATCCAGACTTAAACCCCATTGAAAACTGCAGTCCACAAATGGTCACAAAAAAAATTGAACTGCACTTGAGCAGTTCTGAAAGGAAGAGTGGCAACAGACTAAAGGCTGTAATTAAATCAGAAGGTGGTTCAACAAAATACTGACACAAGGGGGTGATCCTTTTTCCAACTCAGTGATTGTTTTTTTTTGTTTTGTTTTTTTTCTGATATGTTGGTGTTATATATTTCACTTGGATGTTAAATACAGTAAATACAGCTGGTTAAAACAAAAAACTGTGTCTGTCTTAATTTCAGGCTGCAAAGCAACATAATGTGATTGTTTTAAAGAGGGGTGATTCTGTTCTATGCCCACTGTGTAAATAAATAAATAAAAGCGTGAGAGTGTTATACCGGCTCCCCATAGTAAACTACCACAGTGCTACTGCAACAAGCATCTCCACAAATATAGCCTGCAGATATGCATGTCTCTTCAGAAAACAGATGCACAAACTGTCACAAATGAAACTCAACGTTCTGCATCATATCCTAAAGCTCAACACACAGTCAGTTTCATTAAAAGTGGTAAACACTACATTCTATCACCATTGTTGATGTTACTTTCCTTCTTCATTGCGGCCTTTAATCTTGAAATTAGCTGACAATAAATAAAATGCACATCTGTTGCTTTCAGTGACATGAACTCCATTGAATTTATATTCATTTTGTGGGGACACATTTATGTGGCCAGGTGTAAAGTTCAATAATGAAGTGGTAGTTTGTCTAAATAAGAGCCAACGCTAAAAGCAGAGCTGCTTCCATAAGACACAGGATTGAAAATGAACCAAAAGAGCCACTCTTTCTCTTACGGACATGATGTGTCTCTCTTGCTTAATTTCACTCTCTTTCTTGATCATTTTGTTATCAATTACGTTATAATTCTGTATCAAAATGTATTGAATCATGATGAATGTATTGCCAATGTTTATCGTGAGATAGTTACCCAGCTCTAGTTCCAAACCTATATTGCTTTCTTTCTTCTGTAAAACACAGATGTTTCACAGAATGATCATGCTGCTCTAATCCATGTGAATGGGAACAAGGCCTTTTGAGCTCTCAAAATGACCTTTAATTATCAATAAAGTAGATATTTGCTATATTCAACATCCTTCAACTTTGTGAAGAAAAGACTGAAATGTAAATCTTTTTTTTTTCAGTGAACATCTTCCTCTCCAAATCCCCCACCAAACTCTTATGTAATGCACATTCACTGAAAATGACACTGTATGGGGACCTACGGTTGAATTTCTCCAGTCTCTGTCACTTCTACACTTATCAAATTAAAGCCAAAAGACCCATAAATAAATAAATAAATCTCACTTTCGTCAAACATGGCATGTCATAAACATGTTGAACATCATTGGTGCTAACATGTCTAATGACCATTCACAATGAAACTCATTTGGACTTGCAAGTGTGAATGAGGTTTAAACACTGCAAAGAGTAAGAATTTAACATTTTAATTTTGTTCCTCACAAACACCTATGCTATGGCAGCAGGCTATTTAAAATATGCTGCTTGGTTCACAGCAAAAAAAAAATAAAAAAAAAATAAAAAAATGGAACAACATACATCAATCTACATTCCAAACCGCTTGACCTGTCTAGGGTCGAATGGATGGATAGCCAGTTGAGAACGACATAGTGACAAAATAATGACAGATCATTTATTTATTTATTTTATTTTATGTTATTATTATTATTATTATTATTATTATTATTATTTATTTTTGGGTGGTGGGGGATAAATATTCCTTGAACGTTTTTATAAGCACGGTGTAAATGCAGGACCTACAGTAGCTACATAAAAAAAGTCTATTCATACATACCCAAGGCACTTGTTTCCGCACTCTCTCTCTCTCTCTCTCTCTCTCGCTCTCTTTTAATAAACAGTCACACGTCTTCCACCCATTTGAAAGCAAGCTCACTTGCATTACAAACCGGTTGCATAAGCGCATTACTGTTGTGCTCATAAACAAAGTAACTCTATGAAGACCATAATAGGCTATTCATTGACTAAAATTATTTGTCACGATATTAAAACCAGCAGACAGAACAAACTACCGCAAACGCACGCGCAACCCAAGTGTAATCTCTAACACACTGGGATCTGATCGATCGAATTTCCAAGGCTAAGCTGTATTTTTTTTAAACACTGAATTTATTCGTAGGAATATTACAATATTTAAGAATATTTTAGTTCCGAATATGACGACAATAGCACATTCCTACCCAGATAACACACTGGAATTTTGTATGGAAATAATCTTGAAGAATGTAGTAAGTTTTCATTCAAAATTATACGTTATTACAAGAGTAATCAATTTTCTTTCACATTTTCCATTAGTATAATAGACGACTATAAAACGCACAACTCACAGTTACACGGTTACTTTTACCTCAGTAAAACAAAAGCGCATGTCGCATCATCAGTATATTCAACAGTGTGAATAAAATAGCTACCGATCGACAGCGTGACTGAAAATTGATCGTAATGAATGGGAAAAGGGAATATCTGTACAAAATATTTAAGTGATATCCTCTCAAAGTAACAGTCGTCAGTCTTGCCCGTGATAAGCTCTCACTCCTGGTCAGGTTCACCTCAGTGTGTCTGTAGTCAGCTGCGGCGAGAAGAGACCTGTTAAACCTTAAAACAAATGAAGTGTTCCTCTCAAAAACACACTTACTCGTGAATAAAACACTGCGGGATTTTACAAAGACATGTCTTTAACGTCGTTTCCCTGTCTTCAAATCTATATGACACGCATTTTACGCATCATTCAGTCATTATAATATGAAATGTACCTCACCAGAGATAAATCCTTTTTTTCTTCCAACGGACTTCAGACACTTTCTGAGCTCTGGCAGCTGATTCCCTCCTCTGTCTCTCCACTTATTTTCCAGTAAATTCTTTCAAGTCCAATGGGTGAATTTTGAAGTATTTGCCTCAGATGCTGAAATGAGGGTAGTGGAGGAGCGCTAGTAACGTTGGAAAGCCTGCCCTCCTCAAACGAACCTTCCCGCCCCCTCCTTCCCTCACTAGCAGATTGGTGCTGGATGGCGAAACATTTCCCGCTCGGAGGAGGTTTAAATACATCGCTGATCGTTTCGAATAGGGATGGGCAATACCACTAATTTTGTTTTCGATACGATACCGATACTTTCAAAGGCCAGTATCGTCGATATTGATACCGATACCCCCAAACTGAACTTTTAAATGATTAAATTTATAAAAATGATTAAAAGTAAAATAGGTAACGATACCCATTTAATTATATTTGAAATGCATTTTAACATTCAATATGCGTTAATTGCAATTTATTATATTTTATTTTTGTTTACACGTGGTTAAAATATGTTTACTGTAGTGGTAACCATGGAAATTGTTCAATTGTTAACTTTCATAAGGGACTGCCAGTGACAGGCTGTTGCACCCATAAAATGCAATCTTTTTATTCTGACGGTGTATGATTTATATTGACATTACAGAATAGAACATGATCAATATGAATTACATAAATGTAATTGCACAACTATAGGCTACAATTTCAGTTTGTTTATTGTGAAATAATTCAAACATATCATGTATTTCTGTCCTCTGGTGAAAAAAGAAAAGAAAAAAAAATTCTGGGCTGCATTTCCCAAAAGGATCAATGGTTTCTTATGATACATTTGGGAAAAGCTGGCCTGTTTGAATATAGTGTCAGCAGTGAGTGAACGCTTTATGTGATCGATTGGTTCTGTTTTGCAGCATTTGCGTGTGTTCAGATAAGCAGGAAAACAGTTATATCCTACACAGTTTCCTTGTTAAATGAACAAAATCGCTAGTTTAAAAAAAAACAAAAACCTTAGTATCAATATTTTTTATTTGAGTATTGATACTTTCGATACTCACATCAGTATCAATATTTCGATACGTCATTATCGATATAGCCATCCCTAGTTTTGAAGCAGTTAGATGAAGGATATGGTGACCCTTTGGCAGAACATCACCAATTAAAGTAACGTAAAGTTCAGCCAACATTGTGTTATTATTTTACAACTCTTCATGTTGTTCCAAAACCTGAAAACCCAGGTTATTTTAATGCAGCTCTTTTCCATTAACATATCCTTGTCCAAATCACACACACACACACACACACACACACACACAAATGGCAAAAGTGCAAAGTGTATGTGAAATAGTACAATACAATATTGTTGGCCTCAATGCTGAGGGGGATGAACTAAAGTGAATTAATAAATATTATTTCATAAGTTATTTAAGCAAGCGCAGCAGCATTTAGTTATTCACTATTTATCTATTTTACACATATTACTAATCCAGACAGTGTATATGAACAAAACTGTGCTGCTGTTTTAGGCCTATAATCTAGTTTAGAAATGGTTCGTATCATGGAGCATGGTCCTCCTCACCTCGCTATTATGGACTTGTAACACTAGTCTTGGGTGGTCATAAAAATACAGAAGTTTTTTTTTTTTTTATTGTTAGTTGGTGAGTTAAAATGATAATTTTTTATTATTATTATTATTTTATTTTTTTATTTCCTATGCTGTGAAAAAGCATGAGCCATTCTCCCTCCCTCAGTGAAACTGCACCTTTTAAAAAGCATTAAGACATATTGTGATTTTGGTCCTCATATATTCACTTTGGTGGCTTAATGTGAATATTTAACATATGCATCACCACATGGAGTCTAAAAAATAAAAAAAAAACCCTGAGCCGTCAGTTGTGGCATAATGTTTTCTCAAGGAGACAGTTTTATTTGGATCACTCATGTCATTTACTGTACATCAGTCAGGGTCAGATAATGATTCGTAGAATTTGATTTAGACCAGTGATGGGCAAACCTGGTCCTTCCAGGCCACTTTCCTGCAGAGATTTGATAAAACTCACCTGCCTGTAGCTTTCTAGTAGTCTTGAAGACAATGATTAGCTGGTTCAGGTGTGTTTGATTAGAGTTGGAGCTAAACTCTGAAGGAAAGTGACCTGGAAGGGCCAAGTTTGCTCACCCCTGATTTAGACCATATGTTATATTGAAATTATCAGCCAACTGGAAAATAAGTATATTTTCTTGCCAAAGCCAATTTTTATTCAAGTGTTAATGTTGGAGCCTTGATGCCAGGCTCTCAGGGAAAAAAAGAAAAACAGTGAGGCTTAAATATCAGAGGAATTTCAACCAAAATTGAGCATCACCTCTGCCTAAGCACTTAAAGTGAAGGTACGGGACACCGCTGTCTAATATTTGCCTGTCAGATACCAACTAAATTTACAGTATATTGCTGTCTACTAGTTGCTGTACTTTCACTGTAATGTTTACAGTAGTAGCTCTACAGTGATTTAAAATTAAATTGCAACTGTATGTTGTGACTTTGTGCTGTGACTTCACAATAAACAGTATCTGTTTTATGTTTCAATGCAGAAGCAAGCTACAGTATTTCACTTCATAGATTTAATATTCATTAGCCACTGTAGGTAAATAACTATATAAAGAATAATAAAGTGCAGCAAACAGTGAAACTATTTGTGCTATAAATCAATGTGTTTATGATTACGATAATAAATTATTATGATAACAAATACCAGTATATATACCATATAATACCATATACACTGTAAAGTAGTACAGTTGACTGTAATTATAGATGTAGCTACAGAAATTAATTGCAGATGTAATTACAGGCAGCTATTTGAAAAAATAAGTACAATGTAAAAACATGTATGTACACCATAAGTGCATTGTATGAAATTATTAATTTAAATGTAAGTACTGTACATAGACATTAAAAACAATATAAAGGTGGGTCCAGATTACTACCTTCAAGAACCATAGTCCATACATTTTACTAAAAACCTTGTAGAAGGGCCCTTCGTGAACATGTTATGTTTCTTTTGTTTTCAAATGATCCTTCAAATAGATTCCCCCTCACACAGTGGCACAAAAATGACATTTAGAATCTGCTCATCTCCTGTATGCTGGCTCACGGGGATACTACATTTAAATACTGTACTCAAATGTTCCTGAGGAGAAGAAACCTCTGCTTTGGTACACATCCCCACAAGGTGCCCTTGGTCCAGTCATGTATTTCTAAAGTGGCTTTCAGCAGTTGCTGCTGAAGTCTGAATAACCCCAAATAAATCAAAATATTTTCTTTTTAGGCTGAAACACGGATGTCCTTGACTACTGTGAATCATTCAGATGAGCAGAATTAGCACTATTTCCACAGACTTCAACTCTCCCTAAATCACAAATATAATTAGATTTGCAGTCCGCATAGTGAATGAGGTAACTAGTGAATGATAGTGAATGAGGTAACGCCTTGCCTGCACACTGCTAAGGCACAACAGCTGATAAGGAAGGATGCATAAGGAACCATAAGGAAATAATTCTCGCTTCCATTGCATTTACATTAGAGCTCATATCCTGTTGTCTTGTAAAGTCTTTGCACAGAACGAATGTGATTAGCTAAAAAAGTTTGTAGTACACCTTATCTCATCTGTGATGTTTAAAACATAATAGTGATTTTTCCCTACAGTTATAATGGACATAACATATAATATAGAATATGAAAATGTATTATACTACGTGTATCACTAAAATAGCCTCACAGCTAAAAAGCTACATGACATTTTTCAGTACTGAGGTGTAACGTCACTGTTCTTGAAGCAGTTAAACTTACACACTGTTGAACAATGTTGAGTCTTTCTCTCGCGCTGTCTGTCTGCAAAGACTTAAGATATACAAATACAGATATATGCTCATATTACTTATGAATGTGAGAAAGCATAGGCGCAGAGTTACGTTTCTACAAGGAGGTGCCCACCCTCCATAACACTGCCCCCCAGAAACATATGAACAGTTTTATTGATTGATTGATTCATTGATTGAAACTTGCAAGTGCAAAAACATTATCAACCAAATATATCGGTATATCGATTTTGATATAATTTTTTTTAAACTACACAGAATGAGGCGATACCATTTCGACCCACAGGGACACCATGTGAGACGTCAGAGAGGTTTTTGATTGGTTAAAGTTAATGGAGAATATCTTGTGTTTTTCCATGGGTGCTTGTCACAATAGACTTAGTTTAGCGGGGCAAAGTGTGGGTGCTCAAGCGACTATGGGAGAAAGCCCAACGTGCTATATTGCGAAATAGTCCCCGCCTTATAAATAAAAGAGCCAGTCACTGATTGGTAAAGTCTTTGCATCACTGCAACTGACAATAGAAGCTCCAGTTGCTATAGAAACAGTCAGTGTCCTGAGACACATGCTGAGGACTGCACATGAACATTGGCTGGTCTAGCCTGGAAAAATAAGTTTTTTTAAACGCTAAGCATAAGAGACAAAATTTATGAGACTTTTGATGAGGCAGTTGTGATTTCACTGGTGATGATTCAACATTTTATTTATTTTTTTCCTTTTATTTCTTAAGTTTAACTTTAAGCTCAGAATGGATGATTATGACTTTACCGTTTATGCGACCTCAGAAAAAATTTTATGTTTTGGGTGTGGGATGGGGGGGGGTCATCTCATACGTTCCTGCCCAGAAAAAAATTACTGCTGAGGCAAATAACATGCAAATAATGAGACTGCAGAACAAGATTAATTAAATAAATCTCAGAGACAAAAAAAAACAAACAAAAAAAACCGAAAGAATCAACTGAACCTCAGGGACAAAAACAGAATGAATCAAACGAATCTCAAGGACAAAAAAAAAAAAAAAAAGAATGAACCAAACGATTCTCAGGGACAAAAGTAGAATGAACAAAATTAATCTCCGGGTCAAACAAAGAATGAATCAAATGAATCTCAAAGAAAAGAAAACACAACAGCTCAATTAAATCTCAGGGTCAAAAACAATGAATCAGATGATTCTCAAGGAACAAAACAGAAAGAATCACATAGAGCTCAGAGACTTGAACAAAGTAAAAGGTCAAAACAGGAGAATAAAGAGGTTTCACAGACTCCTTTTTCAGCTGTTAGAGAGGACTGAAAACAGTCAACAGCTAGACATTGGAGAAAGAAGGTACTAGCACCCGGATGGACTATGACAATTCTTTCAAAGATAATGATTTAAAAAAAAAAAAAAGGAAAATTAGAGATGGTTCTTAGCTTCCTGGTAAAATGAAAAAGATTCCTATTCAAAGTAAGTGCTCACTATAGAATCCCGTTTCTGCCACTGAATAATAATTATTAAAAAAAAAAAGTAATTGCGACTTTTTATTTCACAATTCTGACTTTTTTATATCTTTTTTTATATCTCGCTGTTCTGAATTTATAACACGCAATTGCAAGTTACTAAGTCAGAATTGTGAGATATAAACTCACAATTGTTAAAAAAAGATATAAACTCGCAATTGTTAAAAACAAATAAAAATTCCCTCAGAATTGGACTATATCTCACAATTGTGAGTTTATATCTCACAATTCTGAGAAAAGAAGTCAGAATTTGCGAGAAAAATAGAAAAAAAAAAAACAGAGCTACGAGTTTATATCCCAGAATTCTGACTTTATAAATCACAATTGCATAGTTTATATCTCAAATTTTTGAGAAAAATGTCAGAATTGCGAGTTTGTATCACACAGTTAACAGTCTTAATTGCGAGATGTACATTTGCAGTTGCGACGAAAGTCCGAATTGTGAGACAAAAAGTCGCAATTACCCTTTTTTTTTTTGTTGGCAGAAACGGCCATAGTTATCAACATTCGATAGTGATGTTGGGGTGGACTCTGATGAGGATTCTTTACTTTCCTCGCAGTCCTGGTCCCTGAAGATGCGCTATGTTGAATATTAAGAAGTTTCTTATGTGCACCAGAGGAGTCAGGAATGTTAAAATTGAGGGTGTGTTTCCTAATCTACCATTCTTTATTGATTCAGTCAAGAATTTTCTGAAAAGTTCTGAAAGTGCAGAGGAGAAAGTTTTCACTGATCAGGAAAATTATCATTTGAAGAAACTTGCTTTGAAAGCTATAAAAGACATTTAAAAGATAGTAAATATGTTTAGTACTTTTTGTCAACTTGTTTTTCTTTTGTTTCCTTTTTTTCTTTTGTTTTAAGTGTGAGTTAAGAATTGGCAACCTGATTGTAAATGGATTTGGAGATGAAGGAAAAAGGGATTCATTTTTCTGATTGTGCTTCCTTACACATAGTACTGCTGATAAAGTTGACTGGAGGAGAGAATGGAATAGTTAACATAAAATAGCAACAATTGTGGAGTGGGAATATGTTTTTCTCCAAAAAAGTTAACTCCTCTGTCTGTTGAGTATAGAGGTCATTAAAGGCCACCTATTAAAAATCAGAGCAATATATGAACATGTTTTATGTTTTAATTATGTTTTAAACATCATTTTAAGTTTTTAATGCTTTTTTTCCCCTGATCTCTCCCTCTTGTGTAAAAATGGTCACAAAGATTTATTCACAGATTGAAGTATGATTCTGGGCAGGTGCTATCTCATACTACTATTTGTAAGCATGCTTTCAGCTTTTACACTGGCTTATTTAAATGTGAGCATTGAGAAGAGCAACTAGCTCATAGCTGCAGTACTGGAAGCAGATGTCTCCCTGCATGAACTTTATGCAGCTCAGAAGAAGCAGAGTAGAAAAAAAAACTTTTGGATCAGATGGTCTGCCTGTTGATTTCTATTTTTTGTTTTTTGTTTTTGGCCTGTAATTGGAGATGATTTTGTGGCAGTGTTAAATTACAGTCTTGCTGAAAAGGTGCCAAAAATGACCTATACGGCTCATGAAAAACTGGAGACCTGTGTCCCTACTTTGCACTGATTATAAGCTCCTTTCCAAAATATTGGCAAGTACACTTAGTAAAACGATGGAACAAGTTTATCATGCTGATCAGACGTACTGCGTCAATGGCAGGTTGATTTCTGATAATATTGACTTAGAAATTGCTTTTTGGTCTTAAAGTGAGGATTGTTTCTATTGATCAAGAAAAAGCTGTAAGACTGTGAAACTGTTTGATTTTCCAGATGTTAAATATTGTCTATGGATCTAATAATCTTTCTTCTCTAGATATGTTTTTAGACCATGGATTAAAACTTGATGAAAACTTGAGGCAAATGTGCCACATCCATGCTAATTTGTATGCATTGCATACAGAGATGGATGAATACCGTCGCCTGTTTACGAGCCTCCTGGTACCTGTCGACTACGGAATTGATGGCGTCGCCGAACAGGCCAGAAGGCGCAAGCGGGTGTCCATGAGGAAGACCCTGTCCTTCTCTTTAATGTCGGACAGGGTCAACCAAAGATGCCTCTGCACTGCCACTAGAGCTTCCATAGACCGCCCAGTGGCACGGGAGGTCTCCTTCATCTAACTCCTTTAGCAGGTCGGCTTGGTACGCCTGTAACACCGCCATGGTGTGCAGACACACTCCAGCCTGTCCTGCCGCCATATACCCCTTGCCCACCAAGCTAGATGTTGTACGTAACGGCTTGGAGGGCAATGCCGGAGCTTTTAAGGATGATGCCGCGCCAGGGGACAGAAAGCTCGCAAGCATCTGTTCCACCCGGGGGACATCGTTTTATAGCCGTGGTCACTAACCTCCACCACATTTGCATATTGAGAAGAGGTGGGGACAAATAAACGTGACGAGAAAGGTCTGGCCCACGATCTCGACATCGTGGATCTTGTGTGGCGATCGGGGAAGAACGGCAGGCTCCGGCGTGGAGGTGGCAGCTTACTCCACAGAAAGCGTTCATCCAGCTTGCTTTCCTGCGGTTCAGCCTGTTTCTCGGCGGGCCAATCGATATTTAACTTAGCCACGGCATGAGTAACCACCTCCAACAACTCCTCATACTGGGCTGAATAAGGGGGTGAGTCTTCATCGACGCCCTCCACATCAACCTCCTCGAAGGAAGATAGGCGGAGCGTCAACCCCGTTCCCCGGGGGGAAGAAGCTGCAGAGTGGGCTTCCGATCCCAGAGAGCGGGCACCGGATCTGGCGGGTGAGGAAGGAGATAGGGACTCGCCAGTCTCCATTCCCTCCGCCAAATCCAATTGCAAACCCCACGAAAGCAGCCGCCGCTCAGCCTCGGCTGAAGCGGAACCCGCACCGTGAGTAACCTTGGTGAAGGCTCCCTCCTCGAAGAGAGCCTTCCGGGAGGGAAGTGAGCGCAGTGACATCCACTCACAGTGCGGGCAGTTGGCCCCCTCAAGAGCCAACTCTGCATGCTTCGCTCCCAAGCAGACAAAGCACAGACTGTGTGTATCCCTGCTCATGATGTAGCGAGTTCCTAAAGGGGAACACTGCATTCCAGCATAAGAACCTTATCCCATCTGTGAAACATGGTGGTGGTAGTAGCATGGTTTGGGCCTGTTTTGCTGCATCTGGTCCAGAACGGCTTGCCATCATTGATGGAACAATGAATTCTGAATTATACCAACAAATTCTGAAGGAAAATGTCAGGACATCTGTCCGAGAACTGAATCTCAAAGAAAGTGGGTCATGCAGCAAGACAATGACCCCAAATACACAAGTTGTTCTAAAGGGGGTCATACCAGATACTGAAAGCAAAGATTCACATACTTTTGCCACTCACAAATATTTAACACCGGATCATTTTTCTCAATAAGTAAATGAAAAAGTATATGTTTTTGTCTCCTTTGTTTGATTGGATTCTCTTTGTCTACTTTCAGGATTTGTGTGAAAATCTAATTATGTTTTGGGTCATATTTATGCAGAAATATAGAAAATTGTAAAGGGTTCACAAACTTTCAAGCAGCACTGTATATATATATATATATATATATAATCATAATAACACAGGTGGTAAAATCAGTGGTCACATGATGACTTAAATTTCATTACAGTTAATATTCCTCCTTTCCAGCAATTATAATAACATAAAGACCCACACAAAGACAAAACATCAATAAAAATGTCAGTAAACATAAAAAAAGACATATAGAAAAGGTACACAAAGCAAAAGATACTTAACTGATATTAATAAGAAAAATAATAATTTAAATTTTGTATAAACACATTTAGATTATTGTTGTGTTTCAACATTTATTATTTAGAAATGTATAATGTATCAATATTTTATAGTGAAAATTAGTAGTGTCTTATTTAATACACATTTTCACAAGAAATCATAATTTTAACTTCTAAAAACATGAGTTTTACAATATTTTACAGTAAAATAATGTACATTATCTTTTTAAATTGCATTATCATTTTCTTTATATATGGTAAGGTTGCTTGCAGTTAATTAATTAACAGCTTTTTACATTCATTTTCTTTCAAACGGGTTTTGCAAGAAATTAAAGACTAATAAATATTCTTCTGATAATGTCTACAGTTGCTGAAAAATGGGTGGCAGAACAATTAATCACATATCTTAATAATAGTGCCTTTCCTCTTCATCCTATGCAATTTGGTTTTAGAAAAAGAAATATTCTACATAAACTGCAAATTATTTTATGTTAGAAAATATCAAATCAAAGATAGATAAAGGAGGTGTAGTTGGTGTGGTATTTCTGGATATTACCAAACTTTTGAAACTGTAAATGATTATATTTTGCTTGTTATCAAATTTAAATTTCTCAGTTGAGGCCATTATGTGGTTTAAGTCTTATTTAGAAAATAGGAAACAATATGTAAGAGTTGTAAATACAACATCAAAATATTTAGATTTTAATATTGGAGTTCCACAAGGATCTATTTTATTTCCATTGTTATTTTGTATGTATGTAAATAATTTACCAAATGTCTGCCATCCAGATGTTATTTGTCAAATGTATGCTGATGATGTGATTTTAAATGTACATGCAAAGTCAGTAACAGGCTGCACAGAAATTTAATTCAACGATGGATCAGGTTTCACAATGGCTTTCTAAATCATGTTCACAATCATGTTTAATGTCAACAAAACTCTTTGTATGTTTCTTACCAAAAAGGCATGTCAGGATGTAGAAGCAGATGTGTTTGTCCAGGGACAGAAGCTTGACGTATACATACATTTAAATACTTAGGAATTTCAAAGACATGTGATGAAATTTGTTAACACAGCAAAATTTAATTTAGCAAATTTTAGATTTATTAGAAATAGCTTGACTGAGGAAGCAGCAGTTTTGTTTATGAATTCCATGATTCTTCCACATATCACATACTGTATGACTACCTGGACTCAAACATGAAAGTCTATTCTTAAACTGGTTGAAATTGTTTATAAACAAGTTTTTAAGATTTTAGATAAAAAAGCTGAATAGGTTTCATCGTTGTAGTGTCCATTTAAGATTTTAAATGGTTTTGCTCCACCAGTTTTTCAAAGATTATATACATCAAATAACAGGACGGTATACAAGAGCTGGTATAAAGGGTAATTGTAATATACCATTGAGAAGAAGTACCTTTGACCAGTTATCATTTGCTTTTAGAGGAACACATGACTGGAATAGACTTCCATCATAGCTAAAGGAATTAAAACATATTGCAGGTACTTGTGGTTTCTCTAGAAAGCTGAAAATGTGGTTACTGTCGAATCAAAATTGTGACCATTTGTAGAGATTTTTGGAGTTTCTTTTTGTGTGTGTGTGTGTGTGTGCGTGTTAAGAGAATAGTGCTGTTTTCATTGTTTTTTAACGTCAACCTGCCAAGGGACTACAAATTAGCCAATTTGGCTAAATCTGACACTTTTTATATGTTGTTTTGTATTATTAATGAGTATTGTCCCTCATTAAATAAATAAATAAACAAGTAAAAACTATAAATTAACATATACAGAGACGTAGGTCATCATAGAGATCCCTTTATTAGGGACCATCATAATCTCGAGCAGGTGGTGGCTGCACCACATTCCACCAGCATACAAGAGAACAAAAGCTTTAGTGCCTAGAGGCACGAAACTTTCTCCAGCTCAGATGCCTCTAAACAAATTGGTCATAAGATCAAAAGATCTATTTTCCAGAGAGAGATTTTCATATATCTTTCAGCCAAGCATCGGCTCTGGCACGAGTACCAGCACCATTTTGGATTAACCGGTTTGAGAAATGGCAAAAGGGCACATTTTCAAGGATGAAAGCTTGCTGAATGGAGTGAGCCAACTGGTAGCTTGTTGAACTGAGTGGGCTGACTGGTCGTGGAACCACACTGGCCAGAGGTCAACCAAGACATGGTTATGGCCTGTTTTTTTCCTTGACCTCTGCCCATGCATCACACCTTAAGGAATAAATCTGTGCTTACCAAACACAGCCCCTCTCAGCAGCAGAACACTGTCTTCTATAATCACTACCAGCCACTGGCGAAGGACAAGTTGAATCATTGTTTGGTTTATGGCTAACATAAAAACAGATATGTCCTGAGTACTCAGCTAACAAAAATATGTTCTAAGAACACTTTGCCAACATTCCCATTTAGTTATGAAAATGTTGTTTTTGAATAGCCCCTGAATGTTTAAAACATCCATTGTTTTCATGCTTATTGTTTTTTTTTTCTTGGTTATGTGCACATTAAAGACAATATTACAGGGATCCTATTATGCCCCTTTTTACACAAAGGAATATAAATCTCAGGTGTCCCTAGAATGTGTCTGTGAAGTTTCAGCTCAAAATTATGATCCGATCATTTATGATACCATGCTATAAATGCCTTTTTTTTTTACAGAAAGAAAAACATGCTGTTTTCATGCATATTGTTAAAATGAGCTGCTTCTCCCCACCCCTTTTTCCAGAAGATGGCTATGGCTTTACAAATTGTGCCTCGCATACTCTGCCAAAACATCTTGCTTGGTTTTGATAATCATCTCTATATTGCATTCATGCTCATGTGACATTGCAGTTCTTCCTCATGTTTGTGTGCGTCTTAAAGCCATATCAATTTAAACTTCTGATATATGGCTTTCTAAGTGCACACATCCAAAGCACTCACACAGAAAGCTGTAATACGGTTGTCTTTCACGTCGGTTATGTCTGTGAATGTAAACAGCTGGGAAAGAAATTGCATTTGTCTATTAGATCTGTGTATTAAAGTGACAGCAGTGTCTGTGCTGTAAATATTAATCAAACTACAAAAGAAAAACAGAAAATGCACACTGCTTTTGACTGAATAACTTTAGTAGCTTTATAAGAATAAATGTATTACTTGAACGTAAATTTTAAATGCTCTAGCGAGGAGATAAACATGACAGACTGTGTCAGAGATGGTCTTATTATTGGGAGATACGAGGGTCTGTGGTACTTACTATAGGCAAAAGTGTAACAGTCAACGTGGATCATGTGTGCCTTGATAACCAATCACATTACAGCCTTGATGTAACTGAATTTCAGTCAGAATTGTGCGACACTCAATCGCCATTTACGATTACCACAGGAATTAATGAGAAGTGCTGTAAACTGAATCCTACCTCAAAACATCCATGACTTCTCTTACGAAACGGCATTTTTTTTTCAGTGTAAACGCTAGAAGTAGTTCAATCCAAAAAAATATTGTTTAACGGCAAATATGTTGAAGATTATCCGATAGGTTGTCAATTCATTAAATAATAGGCTGTTTCCTCACAAAAGCTGTTTATTTAGTGTAGTGAAGCCTCTCCTCCATTGGCATCCATATAAAAAACAAAAAAAACAAAACGTCTCTTGTCTCCTTCCCTGTGTACCGCCGCAGCCTTAGCATTAGCCATTACACTTCTTTTGGCTAAAGTTTGCAGACTTGCCTTCCAGTGTTTTTGACCGTGTACAGCTCTCTCAGAGGAGGAGCTAATAGGGCAGAGATCATTACCATTCATGGGCGGGGCCTGTTGCAATGTGACATCACATTGGACTACATTCCCGAATGGCTCATTTGTTTTTGATTTATGGAGAAAATAACAGAGTGGATGGATTTTTGCCACAATATGATGGTTGTGTACACACACTGCGGACACGTCATTATGTTCAAAAATAATAAAGTGAATATTTTGCATAATAGGTCCCCTTTAAGGGAACATTCGATTTTATCCATTTGCAAACATTATGGGAACGTTACTTTCAAATGGTCTCTGAAAGTTCTGTAACAAGTAGTATAATGTAAAAAAACAAACAACAAAACAAAAAGAATGTCCAACTAAAACGGTTTTAAAAAGCTCCATAAATGATGTATAATGTTTTTGTGCTAATATTTTGAGATTGTTATTTTGAGACCAGATAACTTTAAACAAACTTTGAATCATAGTTCTTCAAATTTTCATTGTTGAAGAGTTCACTGTCTGTGAGTGGTATTTTTTCCCTGGTACATTGTCAAGAGATGGATAACGGAAACTCACTAAACTACTACAAAATTGTCATTTTGGCTTAAGCCGGCTTTGCATTGATCGACAGCTCAGCCTAATGCCAAATGCTTGACAGTGAGTTGACACGTGCCTTGGGGTTAGCCACTAATCAAGAACTGGCAATGCTGGGGAAAGCTGAGATCCTTTTTACACAATAGCTCAATATGATAAATGTATGCACTGAGGGGGTATTCTGAGATGCAATTAAAGTGCAGAACCCACGGGAGGTATGCTAACTCACACATATGTGTGTACTATCATTGAGCAGAGTGAGAACACAAACCTTTAACTGTTAACTACTTCTTGTCACACTCCAGTGTGATTCAAATTTATGAGATTCAAGCAAGCATTTTACTGGGGACTGAATATGGTTATTAAACCCTGATGAATGTTACTTGTTTAGCATTGTTTAGCACGATGTTGGGCTCGTTACTCAAATTTTATTTATTTATTACTCATTACTGCTTACTCCTTTCAAAAGTAATGTTATCACAGTGCTTATTACTCTCTGACAGCAGTAATTCATTACACTACTCCTTATATTACTTTTCCGTTACACTCCACAAAAGAGTATATTTACACATTTTACTTAGTTTTTCTTTAGACAGAATCAAAATTTTCTATAAAATTTTCCACTGAATAATGTGATTTGATGAGCAGTAGCGGCTTTCAGCATGGGCTCCCTGTTTTCTCTACGGCAGTCGCTGTTACGACTCAGGAAAAAGATCATTCGCGGCAGAAACATCATTCACAGTTCCACTACACTTCCATGTGCTGCTTCCATACATACTGTAACAAACCCAGAGTAACGTCTCTTCACATGAAACATGAACCTAATAAACATACAAATCCGAGAGCATCTGATTGTGATTTTCAAGTGATTTGGGTTGTTTGGATTATTGCATTAAAAGTGCATAAATTGTCATATTCATTTTAATGACTTTTTTTACTGTATTTTACAGTAAAATTATAAGTTATTTCTTGTTAAATAGATCACATTGCACAATATATGGCATTTTTAACACTTCCATAATAAACCCACATTGTCACATTGGGCATTAAACAGACAATTCAGCAGAACAAACAAAAACAAACTTAGCTCAGCTGAATTACTTTAAGAATTATGATGACAGCACAATTATTTATCTCATGGTCATATTCCCTAATAAGCTTCTGCTTTCATTAAATCAAAAGACACATCAAACCTCAGCGATAACAGTGTTTAGAGGTGCATGCAAATATTGTCCATCCATTAATTTTCAAATGTGATTGTGCATCGTACATTTTTATGGTTAAAACATTTTCCAGATTTTGGGGTAGCAGAGGTATTTTATCAAATTGTCTCCATGGAGGAAATAAAGATGGAACAACTCATTTCTGCCACTGGAAAGTTTTCATAAAAACATAAATCTCCAGATATGATGCTGCAGTAATATCATTGTGGGCTGTCAGAGACGATGACTGATTTTAAACTTCCCCAAAGTGTGTGATGCAACACCAAGCCATGGGTTTGTATTGAACAGACTTCTCCACCTATCGTTCTCTGTCTTGCCTAGCAGAGTCGAAGTAAATTTCAGGTGCCAATTTAACACTGGGTCAAAACTGAGCCAGCCTATTTTACGCCTTATTTAATAGTTTTGAATGGTTGGAGATTGACTTAGATTGATGACTCTCATAAAATGGAAAACCGTGTCATCTAAATTCCACCGGAGGAAAAGTCTGCAGTTCTTAACTCTACACAGTAACACCATATGATGCTTTAGTTATTCAGATTCTGTTTGTCTATACTGAACAGTAAATGGTAGAAAAGGTGATCACAACCATGGTTATCTCAGATGCACACATCAACAATATCCAATTATTTATCAAATAATTTCACTAGATTACTTTTACAGCAGCACAATAATTCCCTAACAATGACCCATAGCACCTTAGTAACTGCATATCAATGCTCTGCCTGCCACCCACCTCGACCACTCACATTTGCTTTAGAAATGTAAAAACCTAGTGTCATGATATATAATACATTCGCTACAAAGTGTGACAGTGATGACACTACCTGGGATGTGTTGTATCTGGGATATGCTATATGTCGTTGTTTATGGCAGTATGTGTAGTAAGATGGCTTAATGTATGTAGCAGTGCAGTCAGTGGAGATTCCTTCAGACGACTGACTTACTGTCTGCAGTGTGGGTGGTGGAGAACTGGTAACGGTGTGATCTCTCTTCCACTAGCCTCAGGCCTTTACATACTCTCTCTCTCTCTCTCTCTCTCTCTCTCTCAGTCTGTCACGCTCTTATATCTGCCTGCGTGTTGAGTGGTGAAACTGTACAATCACCACTTCCCCTTGCCAAGCTGCATCATTTGGATATAGTGACACATTGTGTCCACCTGAACGACAAACAATCACATCACTGTCCAGTTACAGTAATCCTGCTAATAAGATTCATGCACACCAAGAAGTGTGTGTGTGTGTGTGTGTTAAACCAGTCAAGTCAAATGAGTTGGGTTTTCGTTGGGTCACAGGAAATGGCTTGCAGGGTGAAGACCCCCCTTCCAGAAATCATTAAAAAGCTGGCACGCAAAGGCCAGGAATGTTTATCAAATTAACGCCTGAGTCTGAGGGTTTCACAGCAGGCCATGGAGGCAATAAGGCCCTTGTCCATAAACCAGCAAGCCTTGGCGACAGTGGGTTGGATGGATGGACAAAAGGAAGAGGGAAAGCAAGGAGTGGAAAGAATAAGAAAAATAGACTATATAGCTTTAATAGCTCATTGGCCACTCAGGGACAGTGGCTGATTTTTGCTTTTAGGAGAGCCAAAGGGAATTTGGCATGGTTTACCATTAAATTCTAACAGAGACAGCTGTGGATTTGCATAGTTATATTGAGTTATTTTGTCCCTGCTTCTTGAAAGAATAGCTCACCCAAATTTTATATATATATATATATATATATATATATGTATACTGTATGTATATGTATAGGGGAAGATTTTCAGTGAATAATGGCTGAGAATAAAACAATAGCCCACTGCTTTTATGGTACGGAAAAGAGCAGCTTGGGGATTCTTCA